TGCAGCATGATGGAGAGAAGGAGGAATGGAACAAGAGAATGGTCAGCACGGTGTAAGAGGAGGGAGGAACACAGCATGGCCATCTACTTCCTGGTAACCCAGAAGAACCTGGGACTGCTCATTGTCTTACAGATCTACGAACACATCAAACAGACTAGACCCTTTCCCTCTGTGGGGCACTGGTAGAGGCTCATTACCCACAGGGAACTGACTGGCACAGACTGGCATATCTTCAAAGAAGGAATCAGATCCATGTGGAAGTACAATACAGATAAAAAATGAGGACAAGGTTATTTTGCTTCCATGAGCCTTCCATCTCACCCTGGCCATGTTAGGAAGCATTTGTATAGGGCTGTGGTCTGTCCACTATCAAAAAGACATTACGTCCACATGGAGGCACAGTGCCAGGGATCAGACCACCAGAGCCTGAATCTGTGATATGCTGCAGAGTGCACCTCGCCTGCCTGTCAGCACCATCACAGAATACAGCGACAGCACCAACATACCAAGCAGGCTAGGCCCAAGGGAGCCTTCCCTGGGAGCAGAAATCAAATGTGATGATGTGATCACGTGTCTCCAGACTGAACTGTCTTTGCAGATGGTGCCACTGAGGACTCTTGCTTGGTTAGTGTGCTTCCTGGAAGGTCCTTCTTTCCTGGACAAGAGAAACTGGAAGAGGAGCTAGTGCTTTAATGATGGGCTGACCGAATACAGGAGCTCAGCTTGTATAACGATGCCAGTTTCTTTATTCATTTATTCGAATAAATAAATAATTTATAAAATATATTCTGATCATCATTTCCCCTCCCCGAGATCCTCCCAGATTCTCCCTACCTCTCTAGCTACCGAAACCACACCATTTCTTCCTCTCTTTCTCATTAGAAAAAAAAGGGGGGCAACTAAAACAAAATGAAACAGGACAAAACAAACACACAAACAAACATAAAGAGCCACAGAAAAGTGCATGAAATATATACAGAGGCAGAGACACACATACTCACAAGCATGGGAGGGAATCCTATAAAATCACAGAATTAAGTATATGTGTGTGTATAAATATATACATATATATGTATATATATATGTATATACATATGTATATAAATATATGTATATATTTATACACACACACATATACACCCACACACCCACATATATGCTCTGTGGGGATGTGACAGCCAACCCTAACCTGATAGCGCTGTGTTATTGCCTGCTCTAGTCCAGTCAATTAATGACAGTTCCCCTAGAGTGCTCATACCTGTGTAATAATTTACACATAACTCCCCTGTGATGGCTAAAGAGACTTAATATGTTACCAGGTATCTTTGAGGGCCGTTGACCTTTGCCCTGGCATGCTTGTGAGATCCTCGTGGCCTGCAGGCGAGATAAGCAGATAGTGGTGTTCTTGTTTTCTGCTTTTGTACCCTCACTAATTGCTGTGGGACTAGGATGAAGTGGTCTTTTTATTACTCCACAACAGAAAAGAGAAACAATGGGGGCTATAAAACAATTTTCTTGCCCAGATATGAATTCCATAGGTGGTTACAATTTACTCTTTTGATAGCCACCTTTATAAACCCTTCCTTTAGCTCTCTTCGGCATGGCATGATGTTTGACTCAAAGGCTGCCGTCCTTTTGCTACCAGTGAGAATAAACTTATTTAATCTATATTGAGTCTAAGTCTTTGGTCTTTTCCAGTGGATTCAAACGCCAAAGCAGAAGATCTGTAAGAATATATATATATATTCTTACATATATATATATGTAATATATATAATATATATATATGTAATATATATATATATGAAAAAGAGAGAGTGAGAAACCTTTCCCAAAATACCATTGAGTTTGTCCTTTGTGGGCCATCTACTGGGGGCATGGTACCTGCCCTTCGTGTGGTTTGTATTCCCAGTGAAGACTTAGTTAAAAAACAAACAAACAACAACAACAACAACAACAAAACCCAAAAAACCAACAAAAAAAGGATTTTTCCTTTGTGGGTGGTTGTTGATTAGAGATAGCTTCTGGACTAGGGATGGGTGCTTGTGCACACTTCTCCTCTCGGCACTGGGACCTCACCTGGCTTAGACCTGGGCAGGCCCTGTGCATGCTGCTACAGCCTCTGTGAGTTCATGTGTGCAGCAGCCCTGTTGTGTCTAGAAGGCCTTGTTTCCCTGTTGCCCTCCATCCCCACTGGCTCTTACGCTCTTTCCACCTCGTCTGCAAAGTTCCTGAAGGGCATGGAACCTTGTCCAGTAGTGTTTGGGTGACATACACCCCCATGCCACCATCTTGTGGATGTGAGTGAGTGGCCACATCCTCCTGTCTAAGGTTAGACATTCCTTGAGGGAAGGACTGTGTCCGGTGCTCACCTCTGATTCAAGTCACCTCTTCTCTGCCTTTCTTTCATGATTGGTAGATGGGGGCTGATTTCATGAGGGCAATGACAGGACAGGTGTGGTTTGTGGTTACTGGGAGCATTTGTGGTGAGACACATAGGGAGAGAGAGAGAAGAGAGAGAGAGAGAGAGACAGACTCCTTGGGAGCCCGGGGGTTGGAGGGCTGAGGGTATATTGAATATGGGGGTGGAGGTGGGGTCAGAAAAAGTGCTGCAGGGGGGAAGGAAGTAGAACAGCAGGGAAGTTTCTCCACATTCCTGTTAAGGCGCTGTGGCCTTTCCTGACAGGTTACCTCATGCAGTTCCCACCGGCCCTGTTCGAGCCACTATGAGTTTCTTTAATTGATAGCCTGGGAGTTCCAAATGCAGGGCTGGAGTTTGTGATCTCTCGTGGGAGAACTGGCTTCACATTCCTTGCTTACTGTCTGTGTTAAGTACCTGTGTGGGCAGCGGGAGATAATTCTGTGATTCAAGTGAGAGGTGGGTGTCTTATAGCCTGGGCAGGCATGAGTGGCTGTGCTCCAATGTCCCCTGGCTGACCCTGTCCACCATCTCCTTGACTAAGTCTCCCTTGTCTTTTTTTATGCTTTTGTTGGGAAGGGGTGGTTATCTGTCCAAGCCCCTCTATCTGAACCAGAGTGGTCCAGAAGCTGATGAGTGTACACAGCCTGGCTGAGGGATGATGGGAAGAGAACTGAGGAAGGAGATTAGAACTAGGGGCATAGATATCCTTTATCCCCTCTCCACCAGTAAATGCAACAGAAGAGTGGGGAGATAAATTTGAAGTGAGAAATTCCTCCGAAGGGCATTTCTGCCAGTGTTTTTCCCTCAACAGAGGACCTACCAAAAGGTGAGTTAGGGTTATTCTCCTTAACATTCTTTCTCTCATCCTGGCAGGTCTGATTACTGGCTGCTGATCAATTTCTTCATTTCAATGTGTTTATCAGTATTTAATCTGCTTTAGGTACTCTGGTTCTATTAGAATGATTATTTTTACTCTCTTCTTTTTAAAGGAAGAGAGTCACTTTTTAGTGTAAGGTTGTTCCCCTGGTCCCCATTGTAAAGACGAGTGGCTTCTTTTATGTTGCTATTTCGAGGAAGAAAAGGGAAATCATTACATAAGAAACCAGTATTTTCCCCTAAGGTTGTTCTTGGGAGGAAAAGAACATGTGAAACCCTATGGGAAAAGATTCCTGAGTTGTTTTGTATAAGAAATAGTCACCCAACAAGTATTTACCGGCATCATAATACATGTGGCAGCCCTGTCATAGGAGTCTGGGATTCTTCTTACGAGCTGAAGTCATATCTGGAAACTCAGGCTGCAGTCAGGAAGGCTGAGGACAAATCATACAAACATCATGCAACATGCCCTGTGATTCTACCTGCTGGAAAACTCAAGGCAGCAAGGTGATGAGGGATAGAGGAAGGATTTTACTTCCCCATGCTCATTGAGAAGGGGAGGAGGATGAACCAGCAAAGCTTATCTATGAGGAGGGAAGAACAAGCACGTTCAAAGACTCTGTGGTTGGGGTGAGCCCGAAGTGTGGGAGGAACTGCAGGGGCGGTGAGACAAGGGAATTCCAGAGAGTGCTGAAGGATGGATGGAGATGGAGGCAATATTGATGAAAGCCTCACTTTTCTTTCAGAGGCACTTTGGGTTTTGTTCTTTCAGGAGTGGGTTCACTTCAGTGTTATGCCATATACTGGGGTGGGAATCACTTGCAGACTGGGTGGTCGGTCTAGCAGGAGGCTGTTGCTATCAGTTGGGGCAGTATTCATGGAGTGCCTAGGTAGGAGCTAGCATGTAAGAAGTATTTAGGAGAAGGTCTGATCAGATAAGGAGCCAGCGATTTCTGATGGTTGGGATATGTGCTTGGAGAAGGAAAGGCATCAAAGATGGCTGAAATGGTATGATCTGGGCAACTAGACTGACCAACTAACAGCAAAGCTGGGAAGGAGTCAAAGACAGGTGTTTTTTTCTGGGGAAGACTAACAGTGGCTCCGTTTGTCCACTTTAGGGAAGACTGGCCTATTGAATTCAAGGAAACCATCTAGGATGGAGAAAGAAATGTCAGTTTATAGTATGAGAGAGTTGGGATGGGAAAGAGGGGTAGGGATGTATGTGGCTGAATGCTTCCATTCAGGAAGGTTCTCAGCACACAAGAGGAACTGCTGCGAACACTGAAGGAGATTCAAGTTATTTTTCTTGGTTGAGCTTAAGACCAAAATATCTAAGGAGGTGCTTTGAGGCTACGGAGACAGTAATTCACTCCAATAGAAAACCTCATTCCTGGGTATCGTTTAGAAAAATACCCAGGTACATATTCTGGCACATCAGACATGTTCTGTTCTGTGCAGAAATAGATGATGTGGCAACTTCTTGATCATCGGTCTGAATTTAGGAACTAGCAAAGATTCTATTGTGTGTGTTGAGGCATGTGAAAGACCACTGTTCTTTATGTGAGAAGGCTAATGTTATTAATTTTTTGTGAATCACAAAAGCTGTGTCTGACTGAAGAAGAACAGTTCAGAAACAAAGACATGCCGTTTCATTTCAGAACTTGTCTGTGTCTATTTTCAGGTGACTGTGAATCACTGAGCCATGGGAATATGGCTGAACGGATCATCTATAGATGGGTTCATCCTCTTAGGCATCTTCTCCCACAGCCCGACTGACCTTCTTCTTTTCTCTGTGGTCATGCTAGTCTTCACAGCAGCGCTCTGTGGGAATGTCCTCCTCATCTTCCTCATCTACAGTGACTCCCGACTTCATACTCCCATGTACTTCTTTCTCAGCCAGCTCTCCCTCATGGACCTCATGTTGGTCTGTAACATTGTGCCAAAAATGGCAGTCAACTTCTTGTCTGGCAGGAAGTCCATCTCCTTTGCTGGTTGTGGCATACAAATTGGATTTTTTGTCTCTCTTGTGGGCTCTGAGGGGCTCTTGCTGGGACTCATGGCTTATGATCGCTATGTGGCTATTAGCCACCCACTTCACTATCCCATTCTCATGAGTCAAAGGGTCTGTCTCCAAATTGCTGGGAGTTCCTGGGCTTTTGGGATCCTTGATGGAATAATTCAGATGGTGGCAGCCATGAGCCTGCCCTACTGTGGCTCAAGGTATGTAGATCACTTCTTCTGCGAGGTACCAGCTTTACTGAAGCTGGCCTGTGCAGACACATCCCTTTTTGATACCCTGCTCTTTGCTTGCTGTGTCTTCATGCTACTCCTTCCCTTCTCCATCATTGTGGCTTCCTATGCTCGCATCTTGGGGGCTGTGCTCCGTATGCACTCTGCTCAGTCTCGAAAGAAGGCTCTGGCCACCTGTTCTTCCCACCTGACAACTGTCTCTCTTTTCTACGGGGCAGCCATGTTCATCTACCTGAGGCCAAGGCGATATCGGGCTCCTAACCATGACAAAGTTGTCTCAGTCTTCTACACAGTGCTTACTCCTATGCTCAATCCCCTCATTTATAGCTTGAGAAACAAGGAGGTGATGGGGGCACTGAGGAAAGGGCTGGACCGATGCAAGATTGGCAGCCAGCATTGAAACACCGTGGTCTAGTGTCTGGCTGTTACCTTGCTGTTTGCCTATCATTGATAAATTGTTTTTGTTTTGTAAATCTGTTTCTTTATAGATAAAAGAGAATAATGACACCTACCCTCCCTCATAAGGAGTTTGCAGGAACTGCTTTATATGAATCTGAAACCTCAGGGGTGCATTGTTTCACTATTATTGTCATTATTGATTGATTATAATATCCTTGAATTAAATTTACTCTATTTCTTAATTATTCCTGGTAATAGTTGTTTTTTATTGAGTGCTTACTAAGGACTTGTATTGTCTTATTCTGTTCATCATCATCATCATCATCATCACTGAGGTGGGAAGAATCACCATTTATTTATTTATTTATTTATTTATTTATTTGTTTGTTTCTTTTGGTTTTTTAAGACATGATTTCTCTGTGTAACAGCCTTGGCTGTCCTAGAACTCACTTTGTAGACCAGGCTGGCCTCTAACTCAGAATGCTTTGCCTCTGTCTTCCAAGTGCTGGGATCAAAGATGTGCGACACCATGCCTGGCCCTGTTCTGTATTGTTTAATAGGTAATTTAGGATAAGACATGTGGCTCCCTTAAATGGGAATTTTCCAGATGGCAGGAGTTGAGTTTCTATAATACTTGAAGTGTTTTAGCTTTTCCTTTGAGTTCTAGTAGAGGCTTTAGAAACTCTACTAAAATTTTGTTCAGGGTCAGTGAGATGGGCCAGCAGGTAAAGGCTTCTGCTCCCAAAGCCTGATGACCTGAGTTTGACCCCAGGACCAGTTCGGTGGAAGGAGGGAACCAGTTCCCACAAGGTGTCCTCCTACCCTCACTTGCATTCTAGGACACACATACACCTACATACATACACAGAAAAAAATAAACACACTTTTACAAGAATTGGAGTGAATGTGTCTTTAAATTTTGGGGAGATATGTTTGTTTGAGTTCTATGCATATTTTAAAATTGAGTTTTAATCTTTTTTATGAGTTGTAGAAGTTCTTTGTGTGTTACAGAGACTATGAGCTGTCGAGACATGGGAGGTGCAGACATTGTCTCCCATCTGTAGGTTTTCTTTTTACTTTCGAATAATAATTTTGATAGACTGTTGGAGGTTGGTTTGATGCATGTTACTGGCCCTTAAGATCTGGTTACACCTATCTTACCTATCTTTGTTTTGTAAACCTGCCTAAGACATATCTGATGGGATGATTAAATAGCCTATACCTGAGCAAGGCAGAATGGGATAAGTGTGGCAAAGATTCCCCGGCTTAAGAGGACAGAGAGGATCACAGAAAACAGAGGGACGGGAGGAGAGGAAGAAGGAGGACACCATGAGGGTCTGGAAGAAGGACTCCAATAACAATATAAAAAGGCCCAGATGAAAGAATACAAGCAAGTACCATGGAATTATGTATGGAACGTAGGCCAGATGATGAGAATTAAGGTGGATGGCATTGGGTGGGGCTGGGAGATGGATGGTGAGGTTATTGAAATAGTGTAAGGGAAGTATCTGCCCAGCCCAAGATAAATAAGGCAATTATACATCCGACAGGTGCCTGTGTCTTAGGCTAAATAATACTGCTGTGATAATCTTAGGGCTAATAATAAAAATTTTATAGCCCAACACTTCTATGAATAATTATTTACAACAACAATAGACAAAAGTTTTAAAGATTTTATAAAGTCCAATTTATTTATTTTTTCTCATATTGCTTGTGGCTTTGGCATCACAACTGAGAATCCATTCTCAAATTCAAGATCATAAACATTGACAACCACATTTTAAGAATTTATTGCTTCCAGTCTTTTATTTAGTTCATGGATCCATGTCTAGTTCATTGTGGTATATTGCCATTCTAGGGTTGAACTTCATTCCTTTTGCATGTGGATAAATATCCAATTGTTCTAATGTTTGTTGAAAATACAGACTTTTTCCTCCACTGAATGATGTTAACCCTTGCCAAATGTTAGTGCATCATGAGCATGTGGCTTTATTTTGAACTCTTAAGTTCGCCTCCACTTTTATATCCATCTTTATGCCAGTACTGTATAGTTTTGATTACCACCATTTTAGACTGCATTTTGAAATTAGGGGCTGTGAATTCTCCAACTTTGATCTTTTTTTTTAATACTATATTGCTATTGGGCTTCTGAAATTTTCCATATATTTAAGAGTTGATTTCTCTGTTAAAAAAAATCCATTGAAAATTTGATTGCAATTTCATTGGATCTATACATTTTGTCTTCTTAGCATCATCAGACACCTCAATCTGTGAACACTGGACAATCCCTTTGTTTAGTTAAATGTTGTACTTTTTTTTAAGGTAGCACTTTTGTTTTATTGCTAAGAAATTCACATACACAGATGTACAGCTTACCAGCAAACCCTCCCGCCTGCTGGGTCTCTAGTTGTAGCTGATTTACAGTTAAGGTCTGAAGCCAACTCGCCATGTTCTGTAAAAAAAAAAGGAGTCAGAAGATTCAGGGGAAAGGACTAAAGCAGAGCCCAGCTCAACTGTAGCTCTCGCAGAAGGCAGGCCTGCAGTTGAGGGGCCCTTCGGGTTCCTTTGATGACCACTGGCCACAAAACATCCTTCACAAAGACAGAAAACAGCGTGGCACGATTCTCATTCACTCCCAAAAGCAATAATGTACTTTTTTTTTTTAATCTTTGGTGAATAATTGGATTTTCAGCCTGCTCAATAGGAGGGGATTCATGTCTTGACTGTAAACCTAACTAACTGTGAAAAAGATCATAGACCCAAGACTCCTCTTACTACTACTCCTGCTATTTTCCTAAACAAATATAATTTTTTTGAGGCAAGCTTTCGTTATGTTGCCCACAAATGAGTAAACCTGTCATAGCTCACCAAAGAAGCATCCTTTGCTGCAGATGAAGACCATTACGGAGATCCACAGAGGTCCAAAATGCAGAGAATGAGTGACTGTAGGTGCCTAGCTCCAAGTCATCTACAAGGCGATCCGTATACCTAATGTTCAGGAAAAGTCATGGAGGAGGGAAGAAGAAAGATGATGAGAATTGGAGAACCAGGATTTCTGCTGCGAGACAGTGGTGTCTTCTAGACACTACAGAGAATATGGTTGCCTAAATGAGACGTGAATAGTGACAATACCAGTTGGCATGTTAATGTGGATGAGGAGATTTCATAATGCCTCTGTTGTGGAAAATTGGTTATAAATATTTACTATTAAACCATAGAATTATTACAGTGATTATTTTTATGTTGCTATCAATCAATAAAAGACACAGATACCTGTTATTTTTTTTTTTAATAAGCTTTATTTCACCTGGGCCTGGGCAGATATTAACCCCTTAAGCTATTTTATTACCTCCCAGCCCCACATCCCATGCCATCTGCTTTGATCATGTCTATCTGGTCTACTTCCCATCCACAATTCAATAAATCATTGATAATGCTTTTCATCTGGGATGCTTCTCTGCAGCCATGCCGATCCTCAGAGTAAATTCCTCCTGGCAACTTGGTTCTTCTAACTCATGGCGATACTGCTTTCTCCCCCTGGTACCTGTTTCTCATTTTCCTGTGGTCCTTCTCTCCTCCCAGCCTTTGAACCTTGGCCAGGCCTACCTCATTTCTGCCCTGGCCAGGTGTAGGCATTTTATCGGTCAAACAGGGATTATCTGGACTCAACGTTGCACAGCAACATTTAGGGTGTGCAATAGTCCGCTCGTAAAACAGCAAGCAGACCTCAGAGAGCAGAATAATTAATAATCAAATACAAAGCACCAGTCCATGCTGTAGCATGCCTCATCCCTAGATAAACAGCTACAGTCAGTCAATGGCTGCTGAGAGTGGGAGAGTAAGTTTACTCCAGGAACGAGCTCCCTGAAAGGCTACTCAGTTCCAAGTGTCAGCCCAAAACACAGGTGTATAGATACAATACTTAATGGACTGTAGGATATAAACATATTTCTACATATGCAATTTGTACATACATGAAACACTAATAACTAAACATGAAAAAGTTAGGAATTTTAGAAGGAGTTGGTGACATGGGAGCCATTTGAGTGGTGATAGAGTGGGGTAGAAATTAAGTAAATACAGTACTCATATAAAATTTTCTAAAACAAAAAATTTAAATGAAAAAAAATCATACACTATGACCAAGCTGATTTCATTCCCCAGATGCAATGTGGGTTCAACACGAGCAAATTAATAAATGTAATACAACATGTAAATAGAATTAAGGAGAGAAATCAATGATTATCTCAACAGGTACAGAAAAGGGTCTTTGACTATGTTCAGCATCCTTTCACAATCAAATCTCTGAAGTCATCAGGATGAGCAGGAACACACTTTAATTTAATAAAGGCTACATTAAACACACACACACACACACACACACACACACACACACACACTCCAGCTAAATGATAACAAACTGAAAGCATTTCCAGGAAACAAGAGTTTCCACCATCACTGCTATTCTAGAACTGTAAGTATCAGAGCAGTTTCAAAAGAAATTAAAAAATGATATAAACAGAAGTGGAAGAAAGCAGGGTATCTCTGTTTGCAGATGATATGATTCAAAGACCCTACTTACTCCAGAAAAAAGCCCCTTAAATCCAAAAATCATTTTCAACACAATAACATGGTACAAAATGAGCACACAAAAATCTGTAGCTTTTCTGCAGACCAGTAGCATCCTTGCCAAGAAACAATTAAGGGTGGAGGTTGAGGTTGGATAAATCCTGCTCACAATAGCTTTAAAAACATTTAGGAATAGGAGCTGGGGAGATGGCCCTGTCTTCATTCTTGTGCAGCAAGAATGAAGTTTGACCCTCACCTCACACATAAAATTCTGGACAACCCCACATTCATCTGTAATCCCAGGGCTGGGAAGATGAAGCCTGGCAGGTCCCTATAAATTGTAGGTCAGGGAGCCTAGCTGAATCAGTGAGTTTCAGTTCAGTGAGAGACCTTGTCTCAAAAGATACGGTAGACACTGAATAAGAAAGACGC